TTAATAAAGACATTTGAAATTATTGATAAACACGTAATATGATAATGTATGAGTTAGTATATTCTTCTTATCATCATAACTGATTTTAAACACTTGGCATCGTGAGTATTTAAGAAAAGACCGCTGTTGAATTTCATGTTAAGAGCACTGTGTCTACAGCTTTGATGCCACCAAGGTCCGTCATTGATAACACATTTTCCACTGTTTTTATCATTATCTTGGTCAGAAGCGGAGAATTGCATCCCATTGTGGTAGGCTAAGGAATCACCTATTGAGATATATTAAAATAAATGGATGTGTAAGAAAATATGTCTGTATCTTTAAGATCAAACTGTCGAATATATTATCATTAAAATCTTATTATGGAGAATTGGACATTTCTACAAAATCGTTAATCATCTTTTTATTTCCAAAGTAGAAATTTCTTTCATGATAATGATAACATACCTAACCAAATCAACATCACTTTTCAATTATTTTTGTTTTTTTTTATTAAATTCATTTCACCTTAGTTATATCAAATTTTGAAGGAATCGTTTTCAATTTATAGCAATGTTTTGATAAAGCTCTTCAATTGAATACGTTTCCTTTTATACCAAACAAACTTATCAAAGAGATAAAATCATAAATGGGACATCTACAGTTACCAATGTTCGTCAATCTGTCAGTTAGAAATTCAACGGATGTCCGGACGTTTTTTGTTATGCCTGTAAACGTTGAGTTTCAGTTTTGTTCATATAACTGTGAAGAGGTGTATTACTGAACCAGTTTGCTTTCTGTTTCGGAAGACCTAATTTTCACGAAATTACGAATTTCATGAAAAGGTTAACGTCGTTTTAACAAATTGACAGCTGGCAAATCGTTCTATGGATTTTTTTTTTAAGCATTCTTTCTATCGTTTTTTCTCACTGTTTTTTTTTTGTTCTTCTGTTATACCGAAATCCAACAGTGGTCCTGACATTTTTTTAGTCATGTGTTGTTCATATGTGTTAAGAGGTGAGCTGCTGATCAGCTTTGTTCCAGGTGAATCAATTTAACATGTTTAAGAATGAAAACAATTTGGCAAATGTTTTTGTCAAAATACTAGTTTTATCTGATTTTAGGGTTCGTTATTTTAAACTTCTTAATGACCACAAATTTCAAATGTGCGCCTCATTATATATCCGAAAACAAGCACGATAAAGTTTTTTTTTATTAGATTCACCTAGTCCATTAGCATTGATAACAATTAATATATTGACATCTTAATAAGACTTTCCCTGAATGTGATAAATATTCCTGAACCCTGCCTTTGTAATAGAAGGACTCACTGAGCTTTTTCTATGTTAGACGGGAAGACGTGTGACCCTTCCAAGAACTGACTCCGAATTGATTCGAGATTTGCTATGACTAGCACAGACACCAATACAAAGTTTTTTGTTGACCGTCCCCAGTAGGATCCATATATGCTTTACTTAACAAGTATTAACTAAAATACCGAACTCCAAGGTAAATTCAAAAAGGGGAAATTTATAAACACATGACAAAATCAAATGCTTGGCAATATCAAACAAAGGAAAGAATGGAAAGCAACTATAATATTTCTGACCTGGTACCGGCATTTAACGAAGAATACGATGGTTTAAATTGGTTTTATAGCTAGCTAAACTTTCCACTGAAGGCGTGTTTGTTAGTATAAAATAATTGCCAAAACATTCTATAAAATAACCGACCTTTGACTTTTTCTGATTATTTTAGAATGTGCACCGACTGTATACTATCTACATTTGTCTTTGGAAAATCGCAAATGAACGGTAAATTTTATTGATGAATAATCACTTGCAAATAAATATGTGGACACCTTTTCTTTGCCATTTATGTACTAGTATATGAAATGTTGAGTTTTTGCCATATACCGTGTATGAGTATTCATTTCTTTGCATATATAAGTATTGAGAGGAAGCTATTGAATACTATTAATAACGGTACAATCATTTACATTGGAAGTATCGTACCTGCAGTTCCACTGTAGCTACCAACAGTCAATTTGTACTTGGATGCTGCATCTCCTACAATGAAAGTCTTGTACAAAGCAAATCGTATGTTTTTTGCTGCTGCTTGTCAAAACAATTTTTAGCTCATATGTTCCTCTTGACGGTAGGCGATGGATGTAAGTGTTACCTTTGAAAAAATAACAAAAGAAATACATTTAAAAAACTCAAATAATGTCATCTCGGAATCGTCTTGAAATTAATGTTTCAACAGTCAAGAAAGTGGCGTAAAGAGAACAAAGAGATACTAGTAATCAAAACTCATTAATCAAAAAGAGACCGGCACAATGATGCTTAAATTGAAAAACGACGAACAGACAATCAACAAAATACTATGTAAAAAACTAAACGACTGAGCAACCCCCCTAAATACCAAATTAAAAGGCCTTGTTGTAATTGCCAGTACTTTATTTCACTTCCCATTTAATACTTTTTTTCTACAAATCTGTGACATCAGATATGATTACCTTTTTTTCTTAATGCCCTTATCGTTACGTGCCACATATATATTTATAATAGTTGAAAAGGAATACGATGTATTGGTTCTTGATAAAAAAAAAATGCTTGTGTATACCAATTTTGTGAAAAGCAAAAGCAAGGCAACAGCGCTTTTACACCTGTTCGTCATGTCAAATTCAAAGTGATAGAGGTCTTAAAGATGGGACAGAAGCGCACACCTCACTGCATGTTCAATTAAATTAAACAAAACAATACATATAGTTTACTGATGTTCAAATATCGTAAATCGATTAGGAAGAGACAAATCAAGGTAACAAGAAAAATGGAAAATATCGCTCGAACTCCAAACGTAGCAGGACCGGGTACGTCAAGATGGTCCTTAACACCTGTTTGAGTGGGACTCTTTGGTAGATGGCAATCCTACTATATCGGTGAATTGACAAACACAGCTGCGGGTTATTTTTAATAGACTATAACGAAAATTTTCTATGATGGGTAACCACTAATAAACTTTGTGTCGATTGTCAAACTATATCAAACTTAGAGTATATGTCAAATCAACCATTTTTTTTAAATATTAATGTCGAAACTAATTTACGCAAACTAAGCTTTCTTTCAATATTTGTTTGTAGTTTTATTGCGATTCGAAAAAAAGAGTTTTACAATGATAAGGAGTCATATAAGTCATGCATTGTGAATGTCATATCAGCAAAATCAAAATCAAAACTATTGTCATGAAATCGAGCGCAAGATCCGATGAAACTGTTGATTATTCGGTAAAAAGATATGTAAAAACAAAAAAACAGTAATCAGAAACAACAAATTCTACATATCTACGTATCTGCATTACTTGTGTACTTTCAAATTCAGACTTTTACTTTCGTACATGTCTCTAAAATAAATTGTATTAAAAGCGTGGTACACTGGTTGTATTCAGATCACAATATCTGTTGCATTTTGATATAACATCTGGAAAAAAATGTTTTGTCATACTAGTTAGTTAAATTTTCAGAATTTCTACATGATACATTTTCATGCAACTCACCAGTTTTCAACACATGCGTTTTGATTTAGTGCATACAGGTATTATGAAAATTGATGTTTACAGGATATAAATTTAATCGCAGAATAACATTTCAAATTTTTTTTTTTTTCACACTGTCATTACCTTCTGCTCGCTTCGTTTGTTACATTTTAGGAAAACGACAACAAATGGTATCTCTGATTTAATTGTTTTCACAGTAACTATCTACAAGAATAATTTCTTGTGAACGTATAATCACAAAGTCCTTGTGTATAATATGTTATATTTTGAGGGTTGTATTTCGGAGGGAGATAATTTGTGTCCCCCTTTTTTCCTATCGTAAAATGTCACATAAACCATCGTATGAAGTGTCGACCTATATATTTTGATATTGAAGGAAACCGAACGAAATCGAAACAAAGGTTTGTGAATACAGATTATACGTTTTATAATTTGTTAGCTGGTTATGAAAATGCACTTACCAAGCCAGTATTCGCCATTGACTTTGCCAAATCCGTTCTCATATTCCGACCATGTCCTTTGAAAATTAACAGATCCATCATATCTTCTCTGGATTATCTGTAATGAAACCAAATACCCAGTACATAAAGTTTTGGAACAAATAAATATAGTTCTCCATTTACTAGTAGGACATTTTGATCATAAGGAAAGTAGTTACATTGGTTAAACAATTTTTTTTTCGAATCAAGATTGACTTGGAAAACAGGTTTTAAATAAAGTTTTATTTTGAAAATGTTTTTGAACATCGGTAAACTACTGTTTCCTTTTTTTATCCTTATATGTACTTTCAGAATTCTTGAATAAAAATATATATCACGACTTTTAAAAAGAAATGTAATTCTTAACTATATAATATTTTGATAAATATTAGTGCTGATGAATTGTCTTGGCTGAAAATCTGTTTACTTTTTCTCTTCTATTTTACACTAATAACTATTTTATTTCAAAGTATCTTAAAAGATTGCTCCAGACGGATAATCTGTTCCTTCTCCGCTGAGAGGGACCCGCTGTGTTGCTAATGACAAGTGACAGTCTATGATAAATCGCATTGTTTTATCAGTTAAAAACAAGGAAATGAGTGTTGGAGAGTTATCACCACAACTGGGATATATATATAGGTTGTCATATATGACTGACAAGATACCGATGGACCATTTAAAAACCGAAAGAAAGACAGACAAAACTATGATTAAAATAAAGGACAAAAATAATCCACAAACCAATACAAAATAAACTAGATATCATGCAAATCATATCCCGCCAATAACCAGGAATTAATTTATGTACTCATTAATGGTCAGAATTCAGGATCCACTGGAGACGCCCGTTGCATTACTCCCGTTTAAAGCCTGAATATATTCCGAAAATGAACAAATTTTACTCTTTTCATATAACATATACCGTCCATCCACCACCAGTTTCGAAGCCATATCACAATAAGCCTTTATCTGGATATATCGTGTATACTCCTGATTTCTGTTTTGTCTTTTGAACGTCAGTGCAGTCCTTAACAACTGACATACCGCATATTCCTGTTTATTAGAAAAGGTTTTTGTTAGAAAAAAAAATCTAGTTTTTGCGTTATAACTTATAAGTAAAGAAAAATGTTCTTACGAAAGTTTGCCATCTGATCTTCTGGTCTCATTACCAGTGGACAAGAGTTTATGGAACCATTTTCAGAGACCATGACAGCAATGCCTGTTAAGTGTTTTCCTTAGCATTCGTCTTGCCAAAATGTAATTTCAAGTGTATTTATTTTCTTTACATTGCTACAAAAATATGTGTCTCTTGCTTTGAAACTGCTGGTTCATTTTTTACGGAAGTGGGGTGGTATGAAGGTTTTTATTGCGACAATTGATTTTATTTATTTTAAGAAAATGTTATTTAATTCATATTTTTGTCATAATTGTTTTTATTTATTGTACTACGCTCAGCAATTATTCCATAAAAGTTCAGGTGATGATTCTAGATCTTCGTCAAAGACTAGGATTTTTCCATATGTATAATGCTGTGAAATTTAGATAAAATTCATACAACTTGGTAAAATCAGGTGATCTACTAGCATATTAATCACGTTTTAAAATAGTGCTAATCGTAAAATATTATTTGCGTTAGGGGACGGCCATTTGAAATTCTAGATGGGGAAGGGGGGTGGGGGGCAGAAGGATTATTTGCGGATTGACTATTCATTTTCATCTGTTGCTACGCATGCTTATTTTGTTCCGCAATTTGTATAGCAGAATATTCATTTTCATCCTGTCTTGTGCAAGGTTATATATTTTCAGCTCTTAATAGGCCAGGATATAAATGTATATGTATATGTATAATGAGAAGAAAACGACACAATTAAACGGCAAAACTTATTTTATGAAGTTTGTATTTAAGTACAAAAAAGCTCACCTTTGACATCCTGTTTTAAGAGTCTGAGTATTCTAGAAACTTCCTTTTCTCCATGTGATTCTTAGGCAGAGAAAAGTTTGATGTAATATTTCTTAACATATTGAGAATAAGGAGAAAACAGATCATAAAAAACAGTTTATTAAAATAAAGTATGTCAATAAAGGTTTTGATTTTGTAAATAGTGCCGGTATTTTTAACGACCATTCTGTTAAAGAACAAATTCCGGGATATTTTGATAATACTGAGCTCCCTCTTATTTGTTATATTTACAAGAAATCTACCCGGAAATTTGTGTTTAATTATAGCCAATTGTGTAAAGATGTTAATATCAGTGAAAATACACCTACTTCATGTAATTGCAGTAATTCCGAATACATTTATGGACCCATTTCCCATGTTATAACAGGAGATCTTAACATCGTTCAAGACCGAGAGTTAAAATAATTCCTCAGTAAAGGACCTAAATATCGTCCCCCGTCAATTATTAATTGGAATGAGTGTCGTAATATCATCCACGACTCACTCCATACTTACTGTTTGAAATGGATAAAACGGGAAAAAGCTGACAAAAAATCTTTGGACTCTTTTTTTAAATCAGTAATGAACATAGTTGATATACGTATTCAACATTTTAAAGAACATTTTACTCTTAACAATAACCACAATAAACCTATGTCTCGTATCAAACATAAACTAAAAGAACTAGCCAAGGAATTTGTTTTTGTCCCGGCCGATAAAGCTGCAAATAATATTATTATTGTTTGACGTAAATTTTACATTGAGGTTCTGAAAAAAGAAATCACCAATTCACCAACATTCCAACTGACTCCATTTTCAGAAAATGACATATGTAACAAACATAAACTTTTAGCTACCGCTTTACAAGCAGAACCAAATACAATGAAAGTCCCAACTATGTATTGGCTTCCGAAGCTACACAAACACCTTACAAATATAGATTCATTTCGTCTTCAAGCCATTGTTCCACTACTAAATTGTCTATTTTTCTTACCAGTACACTTGGTACAATCAAAAACCTGATAATAAATTGTTCAAATAAGGCCTTCGAAAATAGTGGAATTAATTACTTTTGGAGTGTCAAGAACTCGTTGGAAGTACTTGATAAATTGCATGCATATATTGGTGATTTTGAATCTGTTCAAAGTTTTGATTTTTCTACCCTATATACCACATTGCCTCACATTCTCATTAAGAAAAATTTCACACACCTAATTAAATGGGCATTTAAAAAGTCAGAATGTGAATATATATGTTCAAACTCTTTTAGGTCATTTTTTAGTAGCAATAAACAAAAAAACTATGTCAATTGGACATGCTTTGATACTATATATGCCCTTGAATTTTTACTAGATAACATTTTTGTTCGCTTTGGAGATTCCGTATATCGTCAGGTTATCGGAATTCCAATGGGGACTAACTGTGCACCACTTATTGCGGACCTTTTTTTGTATTGCTATGAGTTACAATTTATGACAAAAATCAGCAAAGACCCATCGAAACAACATCTGATACACAAATTTAATAATACTTTTAGATATTTGGATGATATTTTGGCTCTCAATAATGACGACTTCAGTGTGTATACTAAAGAAATTTATCCTGTTGAACTTACTTTAAATAAAGCTAATACTAACAATGACCAGTGCCCTTTCCTCGATCATGATATCTATATCATTAACGGAAAGCTTAATACTAAAATATATGATAAAAGAGATGATTTTTCATTTCCTATCGTTAATTATCCATTTTTAGATGGTGACGTTCCCTTGTCACCATCTTACGGTGTTTATATATCTCAACTTGTACGATTCGCTCGTGTATGTAACAATGTTTTAGATTTTAACGAGAGAAATTTATGTATTACTGAAAAATTATTACACCAGGGTTTTCGATATCACAAACTAGTCAAAACATTTACTAAATTTTATCATCGGTATAAGGACATCATTCGTAAATATAGCTCAACATGCAGACTTCTTATACGTTCAGGCATTTCACATCGAATTTTTTATGGAAATATTCTTTAAAGCACAAAAATGTCTGTATTCACCTCTGAAGCTAACAAAACCTTTAAATAGACTTATTAAGAAGGGATATAGTTACGATACTGTTGTCAGGTCATTAAAGATTGCATATTTTGGCGTTAATATTGATTCTCTTATAGGGTCTTTGCATCGGCACTAAACACATTTATTTAAAAACCAGTTGTTGGCATGACACGGGTTATGTTCTTCTCTTATATGTTATGATGGTATGATACTAAACCCCTAACGGGAAGGATTGTGCCTGATATTCATATGATGAAGACATAATCTTTCAATCAGTTTAATTGAAGTCTGGAGCTGGCATGTCAGTTAACTGCTAGTAGTCTGTTGTTATTTATGTATTATTGTCATTTTGTTTATTTTCTTTGGTTACATCTTCTGACATCAGACTCGGACTTCTCTTGAACTGAATTTTAATGTGCGTATTGTTATGCGTTTACTTTTCTACATTGGCTAGAGGTATAGGGGGAGGGTTGAGATCTCATAAACATGTTTAACCCCGCCGCATTTTTGCACCTATCCCAAGTCAGGAGCCTCTAGCCTTTGTCAGTCTTGTATTATTTTTAATTTTAGTTTCTTGTGTACAATTTGGAGTTTAGTATGGCGTTCATTATCACTGAACTAGTATATATATTTGTTTAGGGGCCAGCTGAAGGACGCGTCCGGGTGCGGGAATTTCTCGCTGCATTGAAGACCTGTTGGTGACCTTCTGCTGTTGTCTGTTCTATGGTCGGGTTGTTGTCTCTTTGACACATTCCCCATTTCCATTCTCAATTTTATTTTACATTATACAAACTGCATTTGACATACTGGTTTATTAAATTGTAATGTTTGAACACCGTTTAAAAAAAGTACGAATTTCAATGCGATGTAGTAATTTCACGAGAAATAGTGAGCCTTTCCTGACAGTTCATTATCCATCCAATGTTTTCTTATTCCATATTTATTGTTTACGTCTAAATGCAACAAAACGTTTTCATTTTTTTGTTTATTAATTTAGTCATATTTTATTCCTATAATTGGCTTATCACATTTAAAATCAGTTTAAAAGGCTTGACAAAACAACTAGTATACCTTTCATAATCCATTTGAGATCATTCGTCAGTTGTCTGTTCATTTTAACGACTTCTTTATAAACTGATTAACCTGCAGCAATAAAGCAATCGGTCATATCTTCTTTTAAGAACAAACTAATCGCACTTAACTCTGCTTCCTTCGCTCGCAAGACATTGCTCACGTAATTCGTAATTCCTTCGGATTAATATTTATCCAAAAGTATTAGAAGTATGATATCTATATACTAGTACGCAGAAATAATATAAATTTGATTACCTATTTGTATGTCCCTTTTTGTCATATTAGTTAAACACGTGTTTAGGTCTTGCGCTTCTCGGGCGTTCAAATGTTTAGGTTTGAGCGTTCCTGATGCAGGTAAATCCAGAGAGGCACGTCGGACACACGCAATTAAAAGTGTTCTTTTTTCAAAAAGAACTGAGAGCTTGGATTTAGTATAGGAACCAGCATTCATTGGTTTTGTTTTACTCACGTTAGTTTTATCTTAATAATCGTTTGTAATAGTATATAAGAATCTTCAAGTTACTTATTGATTTATTTTGTATCGAATGTTCTTCTACGTATCTGCTCTTTCAACTAATAGAGATAAAAAGGCAGGTTGGGTATTATAAAATCTAGTTCGACCCTCAACATGTAAATGGGGTGTGCTAGGTCATAGGCTAGTCGGTGTTTTATATCTTAATGAATATGTCTTTTGTAGTCTCTGTTAAATTTCTTTGCGACTGATGTTGACTATGAAAGTGTTATTTACTGTTCAGAATTGCCTGTGTATCTTTCTTTAATTCTTCTACCGCGCTGAAGTACGTCCATTATCCATTTTTCATTATTCAAAATTCAATAATGAATAATGAAATAGTTCATTATTCATTTTTCAACGTTAAGTGATGAATAATGAATAATGAAAAAGCTCATATTTCAGTATTCAAGCTGAAAAGTGAATAATGAAATCGAAAATTTATTTTTTGACTGTGACACTGAATTCGTCATTTCGGTTTTATTTAACAAATATTCAAATTAATCTAAGAAAAAATAAATCAAAACCCTCTTTGAAATTTTTATCTTTATTTATTTTTAATTCCTTGTTTTAATGTATAGACGACCTGAATACCAAAACATATATAAAAATCAAAATACTATACATTGTAATTGTTTTAATTTTCACTGGATCTTTGCTATTCTTCATCCCCTGATTATAGATATAGCTTATCGATTGTGCCGCAATACCCATTAGAGGGGTTACGCAGGACCTAAATGCCAAAATACGCGTGAAAATTAAGAAATATCAAATTTTTGATAAGGAAATGGATATTTTGAATAATGGAATAGACTGCTGAGACCCTTCAGCCCCTAATTATAGATATACCTTATAGGTCATTCGAAAGCTTATCAATAGAGGAACAAAAGGTATATAGTCAATATGTCCCGCAACGCATATTAGAGGAGTTTTGGAGGACCTTAATGTCAAAATACGCGTCAACAATAAGAAATAGCTTATTTTGAATAATGGAATGGACTGCTACGACCCTTCAGCTCCTAATTACAGAAAAACCTTATACACCATTCGAAAGCTTATCAACAGAGGAATAAAACGGTAATAATCAATATGTGCCGCAATGCCCATTAGAGGGGTTACACAGGACCTAAATGCCAGAATACCCGTGAAAATTAAGAAATAGCCAATTTTGAATATAATGAATGGACTGCTGCGACCCTTCAGCCCCTAATTACAGATATACCTTATACGTAATTCGAAAGCTTATCAATAGAGGAACAAAAGGTATATAGTCAATATGTCCCACAACGCCTATTAGAGGAGTTTTGGAGGACCTAAATGTCAAAATACGCGTCAACAATAAGAAATAGCTTATTTTGAATAATGAAATGGACTGCTACGACCCTTCAGCCCCTAATTACAGAAAAACCTTATACACCATTCGAAAGCTTATCAACAGAGAAACAAAACGGTTATAATCAATATGTGCCGCAATGCCCATTAGAGGGGTTACACAGGACCTAAATGCCAGAATACGCGTGAAAATTAAGAAATAGCCAATTTTGAATATAATGAATGGACTGCTGCGACCCTTCAGTCCCTAATTACAGATATACCTTATACTTCATTCGAAAGCTCATCAATAGAGGAACAAAAGGTATAAAGTCAATATGTCCCGCAACGCCTATTAGAGGAGTTTCGGAGGACCTAAATGTCAAAATACGCGTCAACAATAAGAAATAGCTTATTTTGAATAATGGAATGGACTGCTACGACCCTTCAGCCCTTTATTACAGAGAAACCTTATACACCATTCGAAAGCTTATTGACAGAGGAACAACATGGTAATAATCAATATGTGCCGCAATGCCCATTAGAGGGGTTACGCAGAACTTAATGCCAAAATACGCGTGAAAATTAAGAAATATCCAATTTTTGATAATGAAATTGATATTTTGAATAATGGAATAGACTGATGAGACCCTTCAGCCCCTAATTACAGATATACCTTATATGTCATTCGAAAGCTTATCAATAGAGGAACAAAAAGTATATAGTCAATATGTCCCGCAACGCATATTAGAGGAGTTTCGGAGGACCTAAATGTCAAAATACGCGTCAACAATAAGAAATAGCTTATTTTGAATAATGGAATGGACTGCTACGACCCTTCAGCCCCTAATTACAGAAAAACCTTATACACCATTCAAAAGATTATCAACAGAGGAATAAAACGGTAATAATCAATATGTGCCGCAATGCCCATTAGAGGGGTTACACAGGACCTAAATGCCAGAATACGCGTGAAAATTAAGAAATAGCCAATTTTGAATATAATGAATGGACTGCTGCGACCCTTCAGCCCCTAATTACAGATATACCTTATACGTAATTCGAAAGCTTATCAATAGAGGAACAAAAGGTATATAGTCAATATGTCCCACAACGCCTATTAGAGGAGTTTTGGAGGACCTAAATGTCATAATACGCGTCAACAATAAGAAATAGCTTATTTTGAATAATGGAATGGACTGCTACGACCCTTCAGCCCCTAATTACAGAAAAACCATATACACCATTCGAAAGCTTATCAACAGAGGAACAAAACGGTTATAATCAATATGTGCCGCAATGCCCATTAGAGGGGTTATGCAGGACCTAAATGCCAAACTACGCGTGAAAATTAAGAAATAGCCAATTTTGAATAATGAAATAGATATTTTGAATAATGGAATGGACTGCTGCGACCCTTCAGCTTTAATTACAGATATACCTTATACGTCATTCGAAAGGTTATCAATAGAGGAACAAAAGGTATATAGTCAATATGTCCCGCAACGCCTATTAGAGGAGTTACGGAGGACCTAAATGTCGAAATACGCGTGAACATTAAGAAAAGGCTTATTTTGAATAATGGAATGGACTGCTGCGACCCTTCAGCCCCTAATTATAGAGGAACAAAAGATATATAATCAATATGAGCTGCAATGCTGTATTCAAATGATAGAAAGGACCAGATTCTTACAAATATACTTGTAAAAAAAATACCAGTAAAAGCTTCACTGCCAACTGATGCTCCCCGAACTACATTTTATGTACATATGCTTGCAATTATAGTGAGAAAGAAGCAGGAACCTTCATTGAAAATATTTTGTCTGTATACATGTGTTGCAATTAATAATGGGATATTGTACCGAAAACCAAATTAAAAAATTTCTATTTGAACTTATAGTAATTTTAACTTATTCCTTATATCTACCATCTGTATAAGTTTCATTCCACCAAGCAAGATAAATCTGTGCTACTATCTGTATATCATTTTTTAGCTCACCTGGCTTAAAAGGCCAAGTGAGCTTTTATCATCACTTGGCCGTCGTCGTCCGTCGTCGTTAACTTTTACAGGAATCTTCTCCTCTGAAACTACTGGGCAATTTAACCAAAATTGGCCACAATCATCATTAGAGTATCTAGTTTAGAAATATGTCTGATGACCCCACTTGCCAACCAACATGGCCGACATGGCTTAAAATAGAACACAGGAATAAAATGCAGGTTTTGTATATTATCTTGAAAACTGCTACTAATAGAGGCAATAGAGAAAAATAGACAAATAGAAAGGGGTTGAAATGTTCAAAATGATGAGGTCTACTTATTATCTACTATTTCAAAACTTTTGGCTAATATTCCAAAAATGATCAAAGCACATAGTCGAAATCGTCAGACGACTCTTCATTCGAGTTGTTGTCCTCTAATGACGTTTTTTTTTTTATCAATTTGAAAAACTGTAACAGATAGATAAAAACATAAAAAAAAGCAAAAATGATCAGCAAGTCAAGTACTACAAATAAGTTTTTGTAGAAGTTACTGTCGATTTTTACTAATATTTTACGTTTTTGCCTCCTATCTTTAAAACTATAAAAAAAAAAGATAGACACTTAAAAAGCAAAACTCAGTGTATATAATGTGCGAATCCTGAAATACCATTTTTACTGTATCCGTTATGATTTCTAATATAGAATGAATATAAATAAACAGATGATTTTTGAATAAAATAAGAAATAATACATAATGTGTACTGTTTTTATAAATTCATGATATATGTATGAGATGCGGACGGGTTTTCATCGCGCCTACAGCCATCCTGGTGTAAAATTGATACACAAATAGATAATAATATTAAGAATAGTTCACGAACAGAGCGTGTAAGAGATTGAAAAGTTAAGTTTCATTTGCAGAAAATGTACCTTTTAACATAATTATTAATGTTGTATAACTTAAAACAGGTTTTGTTAATCAGCTTGTTGATATTGAATTAAAATTCACTATTCTGTTTTCGTTATGCGATTCATGTTAATAGTTATCAAAGGTACCAGGATTATAATTTAATACGCCAGACGCGCGTTTCGTCTACATAAGACTCATCAGTGACACTCAGATCAAAAAAGTTATAAAGCCAAACAAGTACAAAGTTGAAGAGCATTGAGGACCCAAAATTCCAAAAATTACGGCTAAGGTAATCTATTCCTGGGATAAGAAAATCCTTAGTTTTTCGAAAAATTCAAAGTTTTGTAACAGGAAATTTATTAAAATGACCATATAATTGATATTCATGTCAACACCGAAGTGCTGACTACTGGGCTGGTGATACCCTCGGGGACGAAACGTCCACCAGCAGTGTCGAATAATGATACTAGACTTTCATTTTCAGTGTAGGGTCGATTCATTTCTATTGTACATGCGATGCATTTTCACAGAAGGAAATTAATTAATTTTCATCATATAAAGTCTTAATTCAGCCGACTCTCTAGCAAAATTTGTGAAGTCAGAAGGATTGATTATATATGCATACTTTGTGAATGAAAGTCTGAGGTAATATATCAATAAATTCCAAAAAAATAGCATTTATTGTTAATATTGTCAATTCTATTTTCTCTAATAATTTGTCCAGACTCAGATCTATATGTAGGATAAAATGTATCCTTTCATATGACACGCCATCATTGAATACATATATCTTGGACAGTTAAGGCAATCCACGTCACCGAAAAAGCAAAGTTTTCGGTTTCGGTCTAAATCTACATCACATACTAATAAAACGTTATTAGAGCTATTTTCCTAATGCTTGTAGTTTAAAGGTGTGGTTGGCTTGCTTGCTTTGTTTGTATAAATGTTTGCTTAGGCATTGAAATTAAGTTGAGCAAACATTTATACAAACAAAGCAAGCAAGCCAACCAAACCTTTAAACTACAAGCATTAGGAAAATAGCTCTAATGGATGCATCTTAGATAACAAAGAGCATTCAAAAAACGATCTTCATTTCACGATAGAGTGAGTGGTAACGTTTTCATCTCGCACAAACAATTGCTTTACATTTGACGCTTGGATGACTGGATAATTGATATTTCTCATGCCATTGTGTATACATCTTATACAGTAAAGAAAGTTCGAGCAACAGTTGAGTCACCTTAATTTATGTTTGAATTTCTTATAAATCGTTGTTACAAATAAGCAAATACGTAATTGTAAGAATACAAAGATGTATTGAATACAGTTTATTATTACATGTTTAAATTGTTCGGGGTATAACCGCCGTACAGTTGATTCCGGACGTTAATCGCTGCATTGCAAAGCGATATTGGTAGATAGGCCGTCCTAATATTTTCACCAAAGACTAATTAACGTACTGTTCAGTTAAGTATTCGATGTTTATGAAAACAAAGTTTACTGCCCCTGACAGCATTATATAATATTTATATTACACGAACACCATGTGACTATTTCTAAATAGACAGGTCTGTGAATAACTTGTAAACATCGATAAAAACAAACACTCTGTGTAACTCAAACTTGATTAAACTACAAATATAGCATAGTTGGTTGGCTCTTACACTAAATGCGACCGTGTATTTTGTGATTTGTTGTTGATTAAAATAAATAATGCGAATGAGAAAACCCGTTGTTTTATTCTATTTGCAGATATTTATTTGAAAAACTGACCTCAGAATTTTGGAACTGTACGATTTATTCTCTGCGAATTACTTGTAAATAACGATAAAAACAAACACTCTGTGTAACCATACAACGTTGTTTAAAAGACACGTTTTGGTTGTTAATTTTAAGTCAATAAATAACATAATGTTCTAAGTGTTCTGTCGACATCTCCCGCTCTCGCTCTTTTTGAAGTTCATGCGATTCCCTCAGTGCTTGGTTTGTTGTGTTGTCTAGATTTGACTTCGTAACCGATTTATGATTTTTGAATATCGGTAAAGTACTGTTACCTCAATCTAAAACTAGAATTGCAAGTTGGTTTTAGACATTTTTATTGTTCTAGTTAGGAATTTTTTATGTTTTTTATATTCAGTTTTAACATTTTTAGCTTCTTTTTATCTGATGTATATATTTGCATTCAAAATAGAAGAATTACCGATGGATTTATTTATGAATTTATTAACAAGAAAACAATATTTTATATTTCCAATAAACCGATAATAGTGCAAATTCATTGATAACTGTTTGATATGATTCATGTATTCACCGTTTTTTGTTGTTTTTTTTAGTAACGGATAAGCTTTATATTTCAGAGAAAAGTAGGTAATAGAAGATGTAGAGAAATTCGTATCAAAGTGCATATGTTCAGCCTTAAATGTTTATTTATTTAAAACTGCATTCATTACAACATGTTTTAGTACATTTTGATGACGCGGAATACTGCAACTGTTCTGGAAAGTATTCGTTTGCAATTAGTTATCTAGACAACGTCGAAATGGTAAATTGATCCAAAAACAATAATTTCTATCACGTTCTTCAAACATACCTGCAGTCCTCTAGTTTTTTAAATTTATAGACATAACCGATATGAATTTACAAACCCACAATATGTGCATGTAGCAAGTCGGGCTGTTTCGGCCATGTGTCATTCACTGTTGTATGCCTTTAAAAGAGAGTCGAAAGATACCAAAGGGACATTCAAACTCACAAGTTGAAAATAAACTGACAACGCCATGGCAAAAAAGAAAAAGACCAAAAGACAAACAACATTATACAAAACACAACTTTTAAAACGATAAACTGAGAAACACGAACCACACTCCAAACCGGGGTTGATCTCAGGTTCTTCGGAAGGATAGTTAATTAATTGTACGTCTATTTCCTCGAGTGAATCGTTTGTTGGAGGTTGCTGTAGTGTTTACTACAGTGTGGTAGTTTTTGTTTACCTTCCTTACGTATTGTATAGATTTATTGGAATTAGTTTTTAAAAACCTCATAAAAATTAGACCAATCAAATGAATAAAAACGTTTATAGTCTGCTCTCGCATTCAGATAATTCTGACTCTTTTATTAACAAAAATGAAATTAGCGAACTAAAGCACAGGCTTAAGGGGTCTTGAAAGTCCAATTTCATTTGAAAAAAGAGTAATGCATAGATTTATCAATTGATCGTTTACGAAACTTAATGACATAAAGCCAAAATGAAGCTTTTTTGTGAAATGTGATTTTCAACAGTAGAAATTAATAAAGACATTTGAAATTATTGATAAACACGTAATATGATAATGTTCTAAACCTTATATGAATAATGAGTTAGTATATTCTTCTGATCATCATAACTGATTTTGAACACTTAGCATCGTAAGTATTCCAGAAAAGACCGCTGCTGAATTTCATGTTAAGAGCACTGTGTCTACAGCTTTGATGCCACCAAGGTCCGTCATTGATAACACATTTTCCACTGTTTTTATCATTATCTTGGTCAGTAGCGGAGAATTGCATCCCATTGTGGTAGGCTAAGGAATCACCTATTGAGATATATTAAAATAAATGGATGTGTAAGAAAATATGTCTGTATCTTTAAGATCAAACTGCCGAATATATTATCATTAAAATCTTATTATGGAGAATTGGACATTTCTACAAAATCGTTAATCATCTTTTTATTTCCAAAGTAGAAATTTCTTTCATGATAATGATAACATACCTAACCAAATCAATATCACTTTTCAATTATTTTTGGTTTTTTTATTAAATTCATTTCACCTTAGTTATATCAAATTTTGAAGGAATCGTTTTCAATTTATAGCAATGTTTTGATAATGCTCTTCAATTGAATACGTTTCCTTTTATACCAAACAAACTTATCAAAGAGATAAAATCATAAATGGGACATCTACAGTTACCAATGTTCGTCAATCTGTCAGTTAGAAATTCAACGGATGTCCGGACGTTTTTTGTTATGCCTGTAAACGTTGAGTTTCAGTTTTGTTCATATAACTGTGAAGAGGTGTATTACTGAACCAGTTTGCTTTCTGTTTCGGAAGACTTAGTTTTCACGAAATTACGAATTTCATGAAAAGATTAACGTCGTTTTAACAAATTGACAGCTGGCAAATCGTTCTATTGATTTTTTTTTAAAGCATTCTTTCTATCGTTTTTTCTCACTGTTTTGTTTTGTTCTTCTGTTATACCGAAATCCAACAGTGGTCCTGACATTTTTTTAGTCATGTGTTGTTCATATGTGTTAAAAGGTGAGCTGCTGATCAGCTTTGTTCCAGGTGAATCAATTTAAGAATGAAAACAATTTGGCAAATGTTTTTGTCAAAAATACTAGTTTTTTCTGATTTTAGGGTTCGTTATTTTAAACTTAATGACCACAAATTCCAAATGTGCGCCTCATTATATATCCGAAAACAAGCACGATAAAGTTTTTTTTTATTAGATTCACCTAGTCCATTAGCACTGATAACAATTAATATATTGACATCTTAATAAGACTTTCCCTGTATGTGATAAATATTCCTGAACCCTGCCTTAAAGTTTGTAATAGAAGGACTCACTGAGCTTTTTCTATGTTAGATGGGAAGACGTGTGACCCTTCCAAGAACTGACTCCGAATTGATTCGTGATTTGCTATGACTAGCACAGACACCAATACAAAGTTTTTGGTTGACCTTCCCCAGTAGGATCCATATATGCTTTACTTAACAAGTATTAACTAAAATACCGAACTCCAAGGTAAATTCGAAAAGGGGAAATTTATAAACACATGACAAAATCAAATGCTTGACTATATCAAACAAAGGAAAGAATGGAAATCAACTATAATATTTCTGACCTGGTACCGGCATTTAACGAAGAATACGGTGGTTTAAATTGGTTTTATAGCTAGCTAAACTTTCCACTAAAGGCGTGTTTGTTAGTATGAAATAATTGCCAAAACATTCTATAAAAAAACCGACCTTTGACTTTTTCTGATTATTTTAGAATGTGCACCGACTGTATACTATCTACATTTGTTTTTGGAAAATCGCAAATGAACGGTTAATTTTATTAATGAATAATCACTTGCAAATAAATATGTGGATACCTTTTCTTTGCCATTTATGCACTAGTATATGAAATGTTGAGTTTTTGCCATATACCGTGTATGAGTATTCATTTCTTTGCATATATAAGTATTGAGAGGAAGCTATTGAATACTATTAATAACGGTACAATCATTTACATTGGAAGTATCGTACCTGCAGTTCCACTGTAGCCACCAACAGTCAATTTGTACTTGGATGCTGCATCTCCTACAATGAAAGTCTTGTACAAAGCAAATCGTATGTTTTTGCTGCTGCTTGTCAAAACAACTTTTAGCTCATATGTTCCTGTTGACGTTAGGCGATGGATGTAAGTGTTATCTTTAAAAAATAACAAAAGAAATACATTTAAAAAACTCAAATAATGTCTTCTCGGAATCGTCTTGAAATTAATGTTTCAACAGTCAAGAAAGTGGCGTAAAGATAACAAAGGGATAATCAAAACTCATTAATCAAAAAGAAACCGACAATGATGCTTAAATTGAAAAACGACGAACAGACAATCAACAAAATACTATGTAGAAAACTAAACGACTGAGCAACCCCCCTAAATACCAAATTAAAAGGCCTTTTGTAATTGCCAGTACTTTATTTCACTTCCCATTTAATACTTTTTTCTACAAATCTGTGACATCAGATATGATTACCTTTTTTTCTTAATGCCCTTATCGTTACGTGCCACATATATATTTATAATAGTTGAAAAGGAATACGATGTATTGGTTCTTGATAAAAAAAAATGCTTATGTATACCAATTTTGTGAAAAGCAAAAGCAAGGCAACAGCGCTTTTACACCTGTTCGTCATGTCAAATTCAAAGTGATATAGGTCTACAAGATGGGACAGAAGCGCACACCTCACTGCATGTTCAATAAAATTATAAAAAAAACAATACATATAGTTTACTGATGTTCAAATATCGTAAATCGATTAGGAAGAGACAAATCAAGGTAACAAGAAAAATGGAAAATATCGCTCGAACTCCAAACGTAGCGGGACCGGGTACGTCAAGACGGTCCTTAACACCTGTTTGAGTGGGACTCTTTGGTAGATGGCAATCATACTATATCGGTGAATTGACAAAGACAGCTGCGGGTTATTTTTAATAGACTATAACGAAAATTTTCTATGATGGGTAACCACTAATAAACTTTGTGTCGATTGTCAAACTATATCAAACTAAGAGTATATGTCAAATCAACCATTTTTTTTAAATATTAATGTCGAAACTAATTTACGCAAACTAGGCTTTCTTTCAATATTTGTTTGTAGTTTTATTGTGATTCGAAAAAAAGAGTTTTCCAATGATAAGGAGTCATATAAGTCATGAATTGTGAATGTCATATCAGCAAAATCAAAATCAAAACTATTGTCATGACATCGAGCGCAAGATCCGATGAAACTGTTGATTATTCGGTAAAAAGATATGCAAAAACTAAAAACAGTAATCAGAAACAACAAATTCTACATATATCTACCTATCTGCATTACTTGTGTACTTTCAAATTTAGATTTTTACTTTCGTACATGTCTCTAAAATAAATTGTATTAAAAGCGTGGTACACTGGTTGTATTCAGATCACAATATCTGTTGCATTTTGATATAACATCTGGAAAAAAATGTTTTGTCATACTAGTTAGTTAAATTTTCAGAATTTCTTCATGATACATTTTCATGCAACTCATTAGTTTTCAACAAATGCGTTTTGATTTAGTGCATACAGGTGTTATGAAAATTGATGTTTACAGGATATAAATTTTATCGCAGAATAACATTTCAAAGTTGTTTTTTTTTTTACACTGTCATTACCTTCTGCTCGCTTCGTTTGTTACATTTTAGGAAAACGACAACAAATGGTAACTCTGGTTGAATTGTTTTCATTGTAACTATCTACAAGAATAATTTCTTGTGAACGTATAATCACAAAGTCCTTGTGGATAATATGTTATATTTTGAGGGTTGTATTTCGGAGGGAGATAATTTGTGTCCCCCTTTTTTCCTATCGTAAAATGTCACATAAACCATCGTATGAAGTGTCGACCTATATATTTTGATATTGAATGAAACCGAACGAAATCGAAACAAAGTTTTGTGAATACAGATTATACGTTTTATAATTTGTTGGTTAGCTGGTTATGAAAATGCATTTACCAAGCCAGTATTCGCCATTGACTTTGCCAAATCCGTTCTCATATTCCGACCATGTCCTTTGAAAATTTACAGATCCATCATATCTTCTCTTGATTATCTGTAATGAAACCAAATACCCAGTACATAAAGTTTTGGAACAAATAAATATAGTTCTCCATTTACTAGTTAAATTGAGAATGGAAATGGGGAATGTGTCAAAGAGACAACAACCCGACCATAGATAAGACAACAGCCGAAGGCCACCAATGGGTCTTCAATGCAGCCGGAAGCGTCCTTCAGCTGGCCCCTAAACAAATATGTATACTAGTTCAGTGATAATGGACGTCATACTAAACTCCAAATTATACACAAGAAACTAAAATTAAAAATGATACAAGACTAACAAAGGCCAGAGGCTCCTGACTTGGGACAGGCGCAAAAATGCGGCGGGGTTAAACATGTTTTTTGAGATCTTAACCCTCCCCCTATACCTCTAGCCAATGTAGAAAAAACAAACGTACAACAGTACGCACAGTAAAACTCAGTTCAAGAGAAGTCCGAGTCCGATGTCAGAATAGGAAACAAAAGAAAATAAACAAAATGACAATAATACATAAATAACAACAGACTACTAGCAGTTACTGACATGCCAGCTCCAGACCTCAATTAAACTGATTGAAAGATTATGTCTTCATCATATGAATATCATATGAACATCAGGCACAATCCCTCCTGTTAGGGGTTTAGTATTATACCGTCATAAAATATATGAGAAAAACATAACCCGTGTCATTAGAACATTTTGATCATAAGGAAAGTAGTTACATTGGTTAAACAATTTTTTTTTCGAATCAAGATTGACTTGGAAAACAGGTTTTAAATAAAGTTTTATTTTGAAAATGTTTTTGAACATCGGTAAACTACTGTTTCCTTTTTTTATCCTTACATGTACTTTCAGAATTCTTGAATAAAAATATATATCACGACTTTTAAAAAGAAATGCAATTCTTAACTATATAATATTTTGATAAATATTAGTGCTGATGAATTGTCTTGGCTGAAAATCTGTTTACTTTTTCTCTTCTATTTTACACTAATAACTATTTTATTTCAAAGCATCTTAAAAGATTGCTCCAGACGGATAATCTGTTCCTTCACCGCTGAGAGGGACCCGCTGTGTTGCTAATGACAAGTGACAGTCTATGATAAATCGCATTGTTTTATCAGTTAAAAATAAGGAAATGAGTGTTGGAGAGTTATCACCACAACTGGGATATATAGGTTGTCATATATGACTGACAAGATACCGATGGACCATTTAAAAACCGAAAGAACCTAAGAAAGACAGACAAAACTATGATTAAAATAAAGGACAAAAATAATCCACAAACCAATACAAAATAAACTAGATATCATGCAAATCATATCCCGCCAATACCCAGGAATTAATTTATGTACTCATTAATAGTCAGAATTCAGGATTCACTGGAGACGCCCGTTGCATTACTTCCGTTTAAAGCCTGAATATATTCCGAAAATGAACAAATTTTACTCTTTTCATATAACATACCGTCCATCCACCACCAGTTTCAGGAGCCATATCACAATAAGCCTTGACACTTCCAGATTTATCTGGATATATCGTGTATACTCCTGATTTCTGTTTTGTCTTTTGAACGTCAGTGCAGTCCTTAACAACTGACATACCGCATATTCCTGTTTATTAGAAAAGGTTGTTGTAAGAAAAAAAATCTAGTTTTTACGTTATAACTTATAAGTAAAGAAAAATGTTCTTACGAAAGTTTGCCATCTGATCTTCCGGTCTCATTACCAGTGGACAAGAGTTTATGGAACCATTTTCAGAGACCATGACAGCAATGCCTGTTGAGTGTTTTCCTTAGCATTCGTCTTGCCAAAATGTAATTTCAAGTGTATTTATTTTCTTTACATTGCTACAAAAAATATGTGTCTCTTGCTTTGAAACTGCTGGTTCATTTTTTTACGGAAGAGGGGGTGGTATGAAGGTTTTTATTGCGACAATTGATTTTATTTATTTTAAGAAAATGTTATTTAATTCATATTTTTGTCAGAATTGTTTTTATTTATTGTACTACGCTCAGCAATTATTCCATAAAACTTCAGATGATGATTCTAGATCTTCGTCAAAGACTAGGATTTTTCCATATGTATAATGCTGTGAAATTTACATAAAATTCATACAACTTGGTGAAATCAGGTGATCTACTAGCATATTAATCACGTTTTAAAATAGTGCCAATCGTAAAATATTATTTGCGTTAGGGGACGGCCATTTGAAATTCTAGATGGGGAAGGGGGGTGGTGGGGGGGGGGGGGGGGGGGGGCAGAAGGATTATTTGCGGATTGACTATTCATTTTCATCTGTTGCTACGCATGCTTATTTTGTTCCGCAATTTGTATAGCAGAATATTCATTTTCAGCCTGTCTTGTGGAAGGTTATATATTTTCAGCTCTTAACAGGCCAGGATATAAATGTATATGTATATGTATAATGAGAAGAAAACGACACAATTAAACGGCAAAACTTATTTTATGAAGTTTGTATTTAAGTAAAAAAAAAAGCTCACCTTTGACATCCTGTTTTAAGAGTCTGAGTATTCTAGAAACTTCCTTTTCTCCATGTGATTCTTAGGCAGAGAAAAGTTTGATGTAATATTTCTTAACATATTCGGAATAAGAAGAAAACATTTACATTATACAAACTGCATTTGACATACTGGTTTATCAAATTGTAATGTTTGAACTTCGTTTAAAAAAGTACGAATTTCAATGCGATGTAGTAATTTCACGAGAAATAGTGAGCCTTTCCTGACAGTTCATTATCCATCCAATGTTTTCTTATTCCATATTTATTGTTTACGTCTAAATGCAACAAAACGTTTTCATTTTTTTGTTTATTAATTTAGTCATATTTTATTCCTATAGTTGGCTTATCAAATTCAAAATCAGTTTAAAAGGCTTGACAAAACAACTAGTATACCTTTCATAATCCATTTGAGATCATTCGTCAGTTGTCTGTTCATTTTAACGACCTCTTTATAAACTGATAAACCTGCAATAAAACAATCAGTCATATCTTCTTTTAAGAACAAACTAATCGTACTTAACTCTACTTCCTTCGCTCGCAAGACATTGCTCACGTAATTCGTAATTCCTTCGGATTAATATTTATCCAAAAGTATTAGAAGTATGATATCTATATACTAGTACGCAGACATAATATAAATTTGATTACCTATTTGAATGTCCCTTTTTGTCATATTAGTTAAACACGTGTTTAGGTCTTGCGCTTCTCGGGCGTTCAAATGTTTATGTTTTGGCGTTCCTGATGCAGGTAAATCCAGAAAGGCACGTCGGACGCACGCAACTAAAAGTGTTCTTTTTTTTAAAAAGAACTTGGAGCTTGGATTTAGTATAGGAACCAGCATTCATTGGTTTTGTTTTACTCACGTTAGTTTTATCTTAATAATCATTTGTAATAGTATATAAGAATCTTCAAGTTACTTATTAATTTATTTTGTATCGAATGTTCTTCTACGTATCTGGTCTTTCAACTAATAGAGATAAAAAGGCAGGTTGGGTATTATAAAATCTAGTTCGACCCTCAACATGTAAATGGGTTGTGCTAGGTCAAAGGCTAGTCGGTGTTTTATATCTTAATGAATATGTCCAATAATAGTTTGCTGTAGTTGGTATGTCTTTTGTAGTCTCTGTTAAATTTCTTTGCGACTGATGTTGACTATGAAAGTGTTACTTACTGTTCAGAATTGCCTGTGTATCTTTCTGTAATTCTTTTACTGTTTTGAAGTGGTGTTCATGCAAACATATTCCTATAATAGAACAATATGTTCAAATCAGTATATAAACGCTAAACAATGGCAAAATTCTTTGCCAAAATAACTTCAATAAAATATAAACGCGACTCAAGGTTCGGGGCATAGTACGTTAATTAGAAGGGATGTTCATTGTTTCACTGAGAAATACTTTAGGTGCAAAAATAATTTGGATTTGAGCGCTCCTGGTATAAGTAATTCCGGGAAAGATCTAAAAAAATAGTTTTTATTTTTCATTTCTAGCAACGAGTCATTACCGCTTCAGCACTGACATGATTAATTACATACCTTCCTTCCATCTATCGTTTCACAGATGATAGCGGATATGTTCCTAATGTCGTAACTACAATCCCGTCCCCTTTTCCCGAATGTGACCTACCGAATTAGACTTATTACCGGGTTTGTACTGACATGAGCAACACGACGGGTGCCACATGTGGAGCAGGATCTGCTTACCCTTCCGGAGCACCTGAGATCACCCCCAGTTTTTGGTGGAGTTCGTGTTGCTCAGTCTTTAGTTTTCTATGTTGTGTTTTGTGTACTATTGTTTGTCTGTTGGTCTTCTTCTTTTTTAGCCATGGCGTTGTCAGTTTATTTTCGACTTATGAGTTTGAATGTAGCTTTGGTATTTTTCGCCTCTCTTTTTTTAAAGTCATATTCTATAACCAAACTTAATATTTTTTATATTAAACGAACTCTGACAATATTTTCCATAGTGTTTTGTAATTGAACAGTTTTTTATTAGGTGTATATTATGTGTTATTCTATTTCTCGTGCTCCAGTAGATACATTGACATTTCGCCCGACATGCATGCATGTTTTGAAAAACACAAAGGCAATAAGATATCAAAAGTCGAAAGGCAAATCCCTTGATATCAAAAGGAAAAGGAAAACATTATATTTGAAACTTATAGTTTTCTGTCTAAACAATTATACAGGCCATAATCTTGCCGGCGAAATGACGATTTAAGTCGCCAAAGAATTTTGAAAATCGCTAAATCTCGCCGGCCGATTGACTTCATAGCGAAGTCAAATCGCTATCAAAATCGGTAAAAGGGAGACAACTTGTGATTGACAAGTCTCACAGGTAAAAAAATGGCGGCTGACAAGGAAAATCGAGATTTTCGAAACGACCAAGGACTAATACTGTAAACGATCAAATTAAATAAATACAACGGCGACTTTGAACATCCTCGGATATAACTTTCAAAACTGTTCAAACGGAAAACTGACCGTCTGTTTAAGTTATCGTTTTACCATGATTTTCATCTGAGGATGTTGCGTAATCACTCAGCTGATTTGTTTTATTTTTATTACCTACACGAGTCGATCAATTTTACTATTCGGTAGGAAAAGGGTGGGAATTAACGGTAGATTTATTATATTCATTGAATAAAAATTGAAGTATAAAAGGTAGAAAGACAGCTGATGTATATTGAATATATAGAATATATCAAATTACGATATCATTATAAATTTAAGTGTGGTGTATGATATCAATTGGGAACTTATATCATGAACACAGATCATGAAAATATATTAATGCTTTTTCTCTGGCATCACTCAAGAGACGTTATTTGTCGAAATGTGCATTTGGTGCAGTAGAATTTTCACCATAAATAGTACGTAATTGGTATCGTAAATATATTCAGAATCTGTGTTCATCACGGAAGTTATATGTTCTGAACTGTTAAAATCTCACATCATCACACGTTATAATTTTACATTTACTTATTATTCATTTTTTAATCACTAAGTAACTATAACCTCAATTTTACCTTGTAATTCATGCAGTATATCATGAACTCTGGTATTTTCTTCTGAAGATTCACGATAATTCCTCACATGTACATCTGAAAATATACACGATTTTAATGAGTGTATTCAAATTGGTCTTAACAATATATTTCTTTAACATAATGAAAGCTGCTCTTCAAATGTATGATGTTTAAAGTCATTGGTACTAACGACTTGTAGCCATACTGTATATATTTTACAACCTTTTAAACACTGAAAATTCCAAAATTATTGCAACCAATTCTTAAGTGTGCTTTTAAACAAGGAGGATCAACCAGAATCAAAATATCTGGATTATTCTAATTTTCAGATGACATTTCTCTTTTTAAAGGCAAAGTATACGTAATTATGCGGTTTTTTTTCTGATTTTTTACACAATTCTGTATGCATTTAAATCTCATTGAACTGCATTTGGATATCTAAAAAAAGTTGTCTCTTTGACATAAAGAATGAGATGGGGTTAAACATGTGTATGAGCACTCGACCCTCCCCTGGGACAGTGGAGTTACAGCACAACATAAGCATGATAAGAACAAACTGTAAAACTAATCAGTTGCAATTGGCTTAACTCAAAAGATCGGTACGAGGTACAAACAGAACTAACAGACAAACAATAGACACAAAGTTGAAGCACAGAAATAAGAGTACTCACAGTTATTGAAAGCTATTTCAAGGGTAATTGCAACAAATAAATAAATCATGTTCTCCCAAACTAAATAATCCTATTCGAACTACAAATATGCACATTGATAGCGCTTTTACGTTCATTCTATATATTTATAGAAATATTCCACACATTTTTAATTTAGTATATATCTGGGAGTATATAAACATCATAAATGCTACATTTATTATTTTTTCGAGATTCTGATGCAGTTCAAAGAGTTCTAAATGCATACATTTTTTTACTATACTTCGCTTTAAGTAATTTTGAATTAATTACCTTGAACATGTGTTACTTCTGTTGAGCAATGAATAGTAAGCACTAACACAAATCCTAGACCGGATTTTAACATATTTGTGTTCGATTTAAGAAACAAAACAGAAATTACTCATTCAAGATAAAATTTACTGTATTAATATTTCTGTTCTTGGTGCTGGCACAAAACCAATTTAATGCGTGCAGAATATTTAGTAATTATAGTATCAGTTGCATCAAGTAACATATGCCACATTTTGATTTTTTACTTCATGACATACAATTCCTACAAGCAAAAGAAAAACCAAAACCAAAACCAAATAAACAGCGCCTCTACTGTCGCTCTTCGTTTCAAATCAAAGACATGGCCTTCAAAACGAACCAAAAGCTCAAACATAACTGCAATTTTAAGTCCAGTTTGAGAAGATGCAATGTCGGGGCAAATAATGAATGGCTACTTCTTTAAATATTCCTTTTGCTAATGTTTCAGATTTCATCTACTAACTTGATGAAGCAGATCTAGATGTGTGACATAGTCAAATGTTGGTTGACCGTTGTGGAATATCTGTTTCAAAGATGACGTATATGTTCCAATTGTCGTAACCACAATCCCGTCCTCTTTCCCCCCGAATGTGACCTGCCGAATTATAGACTTATCACCGGGTTTGTACTTACACGAGCACCACGGCGGGTGCCACATGTGGAGCAGGATCTGCTTACCTTTCCGGAGCACCTATAAGCCCATGATCACCTCCAGTTTTGGGTGGGGTTCGTGTCGCTCATAATATTCTTTATTAATATCTATGTTGTGTTTTGTGTACTGTTGTCTGTTTATTTTGGTCTTTTCCCTTTATTTTTGCCATGGCGTTGTCAGTTTTTTCTTTGGACTTATGAGTTTGAATGTCCCTTTGGTATCTTTCGCCTCTTTTTTAATCATCATAGATGAATGTTTCTATACATAATTATACTAGAGCCGTCAGATTTATGACAGATTGACATTGATACATGTCTTAGACAGAATTGTGAACTATAGCTGCTAACATCTATGTCATTTTGGTCTATGGTAGATAGTTGTATCATTGGCAATCATACCATATATCTTCTTATTTTTTATATTATACTAAGAACGGTAAAAACGGTTTCAGTTGACTCGGTTCTCTTATTCGTATTGTTCTAGTGTTGTCTGACATATTTGTTATTCGTTTATTGTTTTGTCATAAATCAGGCCGTTATATTTGCTTAAATCCGCTTCATTTTGGACTTTGTTGGATAATTGTCTCATTGTCAATCATACCATTTCTCAGGCCTTATTTTATACTGAACTAGAGCTCAGTAGTCTAAGTATAAGATAAAATAAGTTTTGATAACTATTATTTTTAATCAAGGAAAATCATGGCAAAAAATCAGGACAATGATGGACACATATAATAGTTCTAATATATTACATAATAAAAAAAGTCGGAGTATAATTAAAAGTAGATCAAATACGGAATATAACATAATAAAAATTAACTATGTGTTGCCAATGCACCAAAAGCAGCATCATATCCTGGGATATCATATATTGAAATTATTCAAAGATCATATCAATTATGAATAAAAACAATTAATGGGTTTATTTGTTTTATTATATGCCGAGTTCAATAAAATGTTCTTTCTTCTCGATTTATACATCAGTCACCACTGTAACTCGCCCCAATATAAAGTCTTACTTTTAATCATTTCCATATCGGAAACTTTCGGGAATCACCATAAGGAGGGAAAATTGAAAAATGTCAGAGTCAAAGGATAAAAACTCATTGCCTTTATCTCGTGTGAGAACGATAATGAAGAGCTCCCCAGATGTTGCAGCAATCAGTCAGGAAGCCCTTTATTTAACAGGCAAAGCAACTGTAAGAGAGATATATTTTTATTTCTTTAAAACCAGTTGAAATAAATACCTTGAACGGTAGTTAGCGGTATCGGGTACGTTCGCCCTGATTACATGTTCGCCCTGGGGTCGATGTTTTAACCACCGAACACCACCGCACACCGCCGAACACAACTGAACACCAAAAGAGACCACTATCCCTAAAAAAAAACAGTAATGTTACACAATAAAACAATAAAATCGGTTAAGGTTCATCATAACAAATGGACAAATCACGAAATATGGCCGTATTTTCACCTCAAAAACTACTCTGTGTACAGACTTACCTGTGCAGTTTGGAAAGTTTTAAGGCCTGGCATCCACTAGATATATAAAAGTTAATTTCATTTTGCATATCAGAAAGATAAAATCGTTTTTTGATTATGATGGGCATTTTTTTTCGTTCCTGCAGAAGGTGTAAAAATTAACTAAGTTGGGATACAACTTTGAGATGCTCCCTCTCAGGTAACAACTGGTTTGTATTGTATTGATTGTCCTTGATTGGCATGGACAATAGATATCTACACATCTATAGGTGAGTAAAGGTAGAAACTGAGTGGACAGTATCAAATGCAATTTAGGTGTTTGTTTATTTTTACACCTTCTGCAGGAAGGGAAAAAAATGCCTATCAAAATCCAAAAACGATTTTATCTTTCTGATATGAAAAATAAATTTAACTTTTATATATCTAGTGGATGCCAGGCCTTAAAACTATCCAAACTGCACAGGTAAGTCTGTACACAGAGTAGTTTTTGAGGTGAAAATACGGCCATATTTGTCCATTTGTTATCATGGTTATGATGAACCTTAAATTACTTAAAATTTAATCCTATTCTCATGTTTTCACATTTTATGTGCATTATTCAATATTTAATTTGACATTATGTTAGTGATGTTAAAGTTGAGAATCAAAATTAATAAAATAAAATGCAGGGGTTCAAATTAGCGGTGGTCCGAGGTCCATGACCTTCCACTGTTGCAATCGGACTTTCGTTTTGGTTACACACACACCGAAGGACCTTCGATTTTAAAGGAAATAAAAATGATCTTTGCTGACCTTTTTAACCATCTGTATCGTCATTTTTAAGCCATATTATTATTGAAATTGAGATAAAATAAACTATTAACACGGAGATATGTCTCGCCTATTTGTTATTTTGATAATGCAAATGTTGAAATTAAAAAATAGCAATTAATACTTTAACATGTAAGTTATGCAAATATTCAAAGTCAATGAACCATGACTGAAGGTACAGGGCTAAACAATCTCCATGGAAATGAGATGTGCCAATGCTAATACAACTGCAAACCAAATACCATTGACTTTTCATAAGTTGTTCCCTTTAAACAAACCTAAACACAAACATTAACATGATTAACTTGTAAACTATGAAAAAGTTTCAAAGTCAATGAACCATAATTAGGGGGTGGGGTTATATAATCTCCATGGAAATGAATCTTGCAAATGCCAATACATTTGCATACCGAATATCATTGATTTAACATTAGTGGTTCATCTTGAACTGACCTAATCACAAACCATGGCCAATACATGTAAACTAAGCAAAAGTTTCAAAGTCAATAGACCATGACTGAGGGGTAAGGACCAAATATTCTCCATGGAAATGAGATGTGCTAATGCTTATACAACTGCATACCAATTATCATTGACAGAGTTGGAAATTATAGCCCGCCCGAGACAGCCTATTTTACAATCGGGCGGTCAAAAATTTAATTTCAACAGTCCGGTGGACGGTCTATTTTTTGCAGGTGGTTGGGATTACCTTTTTCTATTTTTGGAATGAGTTCTCAGTATTACCCCATTCATAACAGCACGTAAGACTCATGACTGCCAATTAACCTTTTACTACCATGTGTTTCCACGCGATTTCTGCAGGGAAATTGGTGATACCTGTTGTTTGTAAGATCCGCACTCATTGGCTAGTTGGTATCGAATCGTCCAATCGCGATCACGTTTATTAAATAAAAAATATATATTAGAGGAAATCGAAAGTACAAATTTGTTTTGGTAAACTCATGTCTTTACGACAGTACTTGGGCTTTCGTCGCCGAAAAAGTGAATTGCTGTTGACTCAACAGAAAAAATAAATTGTACAATCAGTCTAAGAGGAAGCGGACAATTGCTCCTGGTTGGAAAACGGAGTTCGAGTGGTTGAGTTTCAAATATTGTGAAAATGAGGAGCAATAAAATTATAAATGAAACCAAAATTTTATTTTTATTTGCTTAAAAGTAATTTTGTGGAACAGAGGTACAAACAAAGGCATGCTGAATTACACTGAAGACAAACTAACACTCCCAGTGCCCACCCCAAATTCTAAAAATGAAATCACACCTTGCTTCTGAACAAATGGTCATTAGGCTTAGCAGTGTCTGCTTAAATGTGCACTTGTAAGTCTTGTTGAGTGTGTATTTACAAAAGCAGTCATAAGTCATTTTCATCATAAAAAATCCTCAAGTTTATCTAATAACACTTCTAGTCATTAAAACATCTCAAAACACAAAATCATAATTTAGAATCTTGAAGGAAAATGGGTTGGATTTTTATTGCATTAATTTTCAGGGCTGGTAAATTTTGATCAGGACAGGTAATTTTTTTATGCAGCCAGCCCTGTGGTCTGGTAGACATTTCCAGTGAGTTTCCTACCCTGTCATTAACCTACCACTAACAGTTACCCTTAAACTGACCTAATCACAAACTAATACATGAAAACTAAGCAAAAGTTTCAAAGTCAATAGACCATGAATGAGGGGGTAGGGCCAAATAATCTCCATGGAAATGAGATATGCCAATGCTTATACACCTGCATACCAAATATCATTGACCTACCACTAGTGGTTCCCCATAAACTGACCTAATCACAAACTAATACATGTAAACTAAGCAAAGTTTCAAAGTCAATAGACCTTGACTGAGGGGGCGGGGCCAAATAATCTCCATGGTAATGAGATGTGCCAATGTTAATACAACTGCATACCAAATATCATCGACCTACTACTAGTGGTTCACCATGAACTAGACCTAATCACAAACTAATACATTGTTGACGCCTCCGCCGATGCTGGAAACAGCATACATATGTCTCGCTTTTTGACTCCGTCAAGGCGAGACAAAAATGCTTCATCCCTGACCTTGCCGACGAGTGATAAAAGTTATTTTTAACTTTGTATTTCTTTGAAACACAAGGTTATAAATAGTTGCGAGAAGTCACATGACAAATCATATAATCATTTAGACATTTTCTAACAAAATGAGTCCGTTTCACTTTGGTGTCACGTCTTCCAAGAGAAAGCCTGAAGATTATGAATGGGCTTCAACCACAGGCACTTGTTTCTAGCCAAATAACTAATTTATGTATGTTTATTTTCAGGTGACTGATGTATTTATAAAGTATTATTATTTTTGACAAATTTTCATAAATTCCCATTTGTTCCCCCAGCCAGTAAATAAGATACCTGATTACCTCTTATCCAAAAAGTAACATAAATAGAATTTGTCTTGTTCATTTTGTAGTCTTGGACTCTACCCAAGGAACAGAAAAAGTTAAAATCAAAAAGTTAAAGCATAATTTATCATGTTTATAATAATATATAATAATTACATTCCCAAATTTAACCATTTTCAATTTGAATTGATATATTTAGGTATAAAAATTGTTTTATTTAAATTTTTTGTCAGATTTATCAAATGAAATTATATTTGCTATGTATCAATCCTTAGCCAGTCATGTTATATAGCAGTCAATGCAAAAACTAAAATTTCTTTTGAAAAATGTCAAAGGGAGATAATTTCAAATTTGTAAAACTCAATCAAGCTTATTCAAGCTTCATGTACATGATGTAATGTATTTAAGCTCAACTGTAGTTATAAATAAAAATACTTGACTATGTTCATGATGTTAGCTCAATTTGGGCTTTACAAAATTATTCCCCTAAGTGGCCCTTTGACCTTTTTCAAAAGAAATTTTGATTTCTGCATTAACCATGTTAACTCTTAGAAGTTCAGCCTTTTCCAAAAAACTTGTGTGGTTACATTCTTAATTTTATACATGTTATAGTTTGTCATTTTGTATTTAAGTAATATTTCTAAGATAACCTGTAAATCTTCATTAAATGTATTGATTTTTCAGGAATTATTTATACAGAACTTAGCTATGATCTCATTAGAAACAAATGAAAGTAAAAACAGTGTAGACTATAAAGACCTGGCTGAAGTGGTCAATTCAGAAGATGTACTCCAGTTTTTACAAGGTTTGTATACCAAATACAGAATTGAGGGTCTGGACAGTGGACCTTCATTTTTGTATTCTTTAATTTTTTAGGCTGTTTTTCTCTATTCTTTATACTTTTTGCCCATTATCCTCTATTTTTGATTCAGCCATGCTGGATCTATGCGATCACTCTGTTTTTGGAGATTGGTGCAGAATACTAAGTTGGAGACACGTCATGAAACTAATTACATGTTTTTATGACTTGCAGAAACTTTCTTTACCATTTTAATCATCAACTGCCAACTTTTGACATGTTATTTGCCCTTAAATTAAGAAAAGATTGGTCAAACAACCCTTTTATTTTAGATATACATTGTACACTTGCATATAGTCCCTTTGTTAATCAAAATTTGTAATGATTTACCGGTACTATTTATGAATTATTTTGAAAAAGTATTTTTTACATCAATTGAATCACTTGATAACAATTTTGAAAGTATTATATTATTATCTTATGCTTGTGTAAGTTTTTGTTCTATGAAATTTAGGTCAACATGTGTGTTAATATATCTAAGTTGATTCCCACACTTTTTTGAAATGGTATTACTCCAATTCTTTCCATAGGCAAGTAAGAGTCAGTATGATTATAAACTGTCATGATTTTCAAATAATTACACTCAAAGGTGTAAGTATTAATTGGAAACAATCCCAGTCTTAATTCACCACATTTAATATCTCATGAACTGTTACATAATTAAATAGGCACAATTTATTACACACCAATGAATACACACATTCTTGACCTCAATAGTAAACCTACAAATGTATTATTTATTTTGATCTACGCTACATTAAAATATTCTGTTAATTTTGCTAGCTAGCTGAATGATTAATCAGACGTGTTTTTTTTCAAAGAAAAGACAAAAAATGTAAAAATATGTATAAAAAATGCAAGCAAATTTTATTTCAGTTGTAAAATGAGTGTCGATCATTATCATCTGACATAAGTCAATAATCAAGATCTAATTAATTAGTTACAATTATCAGAAATTTGGTTGAAACAATAACCAAATTGCATGAATGAATGATTTTATTCTCATAAACTAGTACATAGCTACAGAGAAAATAAGAGTCCATATATAATACATATTTTGTTTCGCATGTGTGAAAATAAATAACAATATAATAATATTACAGTTCCTCTAACCAGGAGGACAGACTTTCACTGATATGTATCGTATAAATCTACACAATTTTTCTAGTTCAACAGCATTTTCAGATGAGAATATATGATTAAATTTAATAATGTTAGCATTTTTGTTACAATAATGTGGTAAATATTTTTCTCTTTCTATGTTGAAAAAATTGCATGACATTATGTAATGAAATTCATCGCCAATATCTGTAGAGCTGCAGAGGTGACAAGACCTTTCCGATCTCGGAATAGTTTGCCACCTTCCCGTCTCCACTGGCAAACGATGATTTCCGCATCTAAATTTACACAAAGTATATAAAAAATTAAAAGGCAAAATCGATAAATACTTTTCAAATTTAAATTCGGTCTTGTAAATTCTATAACATAAACTTTTCGAGGATTGATGTAAATCTGCAAACCAGTCTTGTCGAAATTGGTCTTTTAGCTTTTGCTCAATACTTAATTTTATCCATTTTTTGTTAAAATAATCTTGGCAATGCCATACATTTGACATGCCACATTCATCAAATATTTTCTTAATAAATAACATCCATTTATTTCCAATACCATAATTGTTACAATTAATGTATAATAGTTTATAAAGTATACAGGATAATTTATCTTCATTTGTATTATCAAGAAGGCGACACCAAAAGTTGATCATTCGTAGTTTAGCATATAAAGAAATAGGGTATCTCCCAAGTTCTCCATAAATCATAAAACTTGGAGTCGAGTTTTTAAGTTTTAAAATGTGCTTACAGAATTTCAAATGCACTCGCTCAAGTATATCAAAATTTTCGAATCCCCAAATTTCAGCCCCGTATAGAAGAATGGGTACAACAGCTTTATCAAACATATTTAGTTGACATTCAATCGATAAGTGGTTTAATCTGCTCTTCTTGATAACACTGTACATAGCTTTAGTTGCTTGGTCTCGTAAATATTTCCTAGTTTCGAAAAAAGATGCATTTCTAGAGAAAATAACACCAAGGTATTTATAATGTTTAACTATCTCTATTTCTTCTTTTTCAATATAAAACTTCAAATTATTTGATATTCTTCCTCTTGTAAAAACCATAACTTTGGTTTTGCTAACATTGATTCTTAATTTCCAATTATTACAATACTGTGAAAAATTATTTAAAAGTAACTGTAAATCTGAACTTGATTCAGCAAGTAAAATAGTATCATCGGCATATAATAATACAAACAGTTTAAGGTATATATTTAGTTCATTTTCTATATCCAATGTTAAAGATTGTACACCACTAATGTTAACATTTTCTAAATACTGCTGCAAATCGTTCAAATTTAGAGAGAATAACAAAGGAGAAAGATTTTCCCCTTGTCGAACACCAATTTCACTAGCAAACATGTCAGATAAATTATTATTATGTACAATACGTGATTTAACATCATCATACATATTTTTAACAACTCTAAGAAACTTTCCTTTTACGTTATTCAAAAGGAGTTTATATAATAAAGAATTACGGTGTACAAAATCAAAGGCCTTTTCAAAATCTACAAAAGCACAAAAAAGCTTTTTCTTTTTAACAATGAGAAGTTCAAAAAGTGCATATAAAGAAAAAATATGATCCGTAGTAGAGTAACCATGTCGGAAGCCAGCTTGATTTTCATTTAATATATTCAATTCATCAACGAATAAACCCAACCTGTCATTAAGAATAGATGTAAATATTTTCCCTAAGCACGACAATAAAGTTATCGGTCTATAATTTTTTGGATCTAATTTGCACCCCTTGTTCTTAAATATTGGTATCACATTACCAATAAGCCAGGCTTCCGGCAATATACCCGTATCAAAAATAAGATTAAACAATTTTATGTATATATCAATCATACTGTCTAGAGATGAAGCAATGTATTCATTAATGATTTGATCTGCCCCAGGCGATTTATTATTCTTCGCCTTTTTAACAGCTTTTAAAATTTCTTCTCGTGTAATAACACAATTAAGTGTGTCATCGTCATAAGATGAACTCACATCATTTTCAATTATGTATTCATCTTCAAACTTGTTCTTATTCAAATCTTTAAAAAAATCAAATAATGTTCCAATAGATATATTGCTTTTTTCTCTTTGATGTCCCTTATTAAACAATTTCCAAAATTCTTTTGGATTTTTATTTTTCATTTTTTTCATATTGTCACTCATATCTGCATTAAATTTCTTAATATTTTCATCCATCACTTTCTTATAATATATCTCACTCTGTCGCAATCTTTCTTTAAAAACATTTGACCCATAGTGTTTATAAAGTCTTTGTGATTTTCTTAATTCTTTCTTTGCTTTGTTACAGTCTTTATCATACCATTGTTTGTTGTTTTGTTTCTTAGAATTACGCAACATAGTTTTAGTATACATATTTGTACCAAAAGTAAGTTTTGCAGAATCAATCAAGATATCAGAAACTTCATGTACCAAATTATTCATGTCATTTTTTGAGATATTTTCTTTATCATTATAAGTATTCAGCTTGCTTATAACATAATCAACTTTATCTGTATCAATATTATTTCTGTATTCATTTATTTTTTCACTATTCCATTTTCCAATCATATTTTGCTGTACAAAATTATTTTCAATTACATTATTTTTAATCAAGGATTTACAATCTATCTGCAATGATAAAGGTGAGTGCACATCAGAAAAAAGTTTAGAAAACTCACCAATTTCAAAATTGCTTACAAATTGTAGAAAATGTGAGGTACATATAATATAATCAATAACACTATTGTTTCTACTTGTAGGTTTTGCATTAACATCTTGACCTACTCTTCCATTTAGTATAAACACTTTGTTAGATTTACAAAAGTCTAATAATTTTCTACCAAAGCCGTTAACTACATCATCTGGAGTATTTCTTACTCTAGGTATATTCAAATTATCTAGTATATGTACATCAGTATAATCAAATTGATCAGTAAAATGTTGGACAATAAACTCATCGGCAGAACTTTCAACATAAAAATCGGGCAAATTAGCTGTGCGACTATTAAAGTCACCAAGTAGTACAATATATTTACTGTTTTTGGAAAATCTTTGGAATTCGACATCAATCTCGTTAAAAGCTTCTTCTGATGTGTAATTTGTATTAACAGGGGGTATGTAAACAATGCCAAAAACAACATTTTCATCAAGATCAAAAACTTTTTTGTCAACAGAAAACCAATACACAAATTTGCATTCGGTATCAAAAGGCTTAATACATTTATCCAAACACTTCCGGTAGCCTAGAGCAATACCGCCAGACCTATGGCTTGTAATTTTATGTCTATTTTTAAAACTAAAAATAAATTCGTCACAGTTTATAACATCACAATCATCTAATTTAGTTTCTGTAAAACAGACAATATCATAAGTGTTCAACAGTGATTTAAATTCAGGATATAGTAATCGATTTTTTATACCACAAACATTTAAGGATAATAGTTTAAAACAATTGCTAGAGGGTTTATCTATATCTACAGAAAAACTATTACAATTTGAATGAAAGTCACAAGTGTCAAATAACTCGTCTGATTTAACGGTTTCGTGTTCTATTCCTCCACGGTTATCCTAATGCGGTGTATTGCGCCTTTGTCGTCGTCCGGGGTCGTTGTCTTTTTGTGTGAACTTTTTTGGTCGTGCACCTTGCTCGTTGTACTGTCGTCGAGGTACATCATCATCTCTCTTCTCGTCATCCTTCTTGGATGGGCAACATTCAACTCCTTCGATGAATAGGCGGTCTCGTTTGAAAAAAGCCTTTTTCCGTTGTCTACGGGCTTCTTGAAAGTGTGGCCAAAGTTCTTTGCGTTTATCGTTAACTTCTTTAGGAAAT